GATTACCCTGTGTCTATGGCTACGAGAATGTGAATGAAATAGACACATCCAATCATTGTCCTTCAAACATTAACATCCATTTCACAGAGAGATAAGGAGGAAGGTAGATAGGAAGTTGGGTAGATGAGTGAGTGAAGAGGTGATTGTGATGATAGATAGATAAATAGATAGACAGAACGATACATAGATAGATGGGGTAAAATGCATTTCTCTTGTCTTCTCTGACCTTGAACTCCTGGCCCAAAGTGATCCTCTTGCTTTGGCCTTCCAAAGTGTTAGGATTACACCGTGCCTAGAGTTTCTCTTCTCTTCTCTGGCAAAGGCAGAGCGTGCTTTAAGAGACAACTTTAGGAAAGGATTAAAGATAGTATTTTTTGCCATGGAGCAAAAAAAAAAAAAATGGAGTCTGAAATCATCAAGCAAAATAAGCAGGCATTAACATGGCCAACGTTTAAGGATTCCAAATACATACTTTCTGTCTTAGGTTCCTTCCCACCTTTTTCTTCCTGTTCTGGCTTTAATTGAGCATTTTATATGATTCCATTTTCTCATCTTGCTTAGTATAACAAGTATACTTATTTTTTAATGTTTAATGGTTGCTCTAAAGTTTTCAATATGCATTTTAAACTAATCTAAACCTACCTTTATATAACACTATACCACTTCACATGTAGCACAGGTAACTTTGAATATTTCTAATTCTTACCTTCCAGTTCTTATGACATTATTGTCATTCATTTCACGTATCCATAGGCTATAATTACCCAATAATTGTTGCTTATTATTTAAACAGTTATCTTTAGATCAATTAAGAATAAAAAACAAAAATATTTTACTTTATCTTCATTTACTCCTTTTTTAATATTCTTCCTTTCTTTGTGTAGACCTGAGTTTCTGATCTGCATCATTTCCCTACTCCCTATGGAACTTTTAACATTTTTTGGAGGGTAAATCTCCTGGGAAAGTCCTTGTTTCTCCTTTACTTTTGAAGGACCATTTCACTGAACATAGAGTACCAGGTTGGTTGTTTCTCTTGTAACACTTTAAATATTTCATTCTACTCTCTTGCTTGCATAGTTTCTGATGATAAATCTGCTACAATTCTTATCCTTGTGTCTCTCTATAGCTTGGGGTTTGTTCCCCCCACACACACACTTTAGATTCTTTCAAGATTTTGTCTTTGGTTTCCTGCAGGTTGATTATGATATGCCCAGGAGTCAGGGTTTTTGGGTATTGATTGTGCTTGATGTTCTCCAGTGTTCCTGGATCTGTGGTTTGATGTCTGATATTAATCTTGGAAAGTCCTAAGCCATTCTTACTGCAAGCATGTCGTCTTCCATTCTCTCTTCTTTCGCCTTTTAGTATTCCAGCTACTGGTGTGTTACAGCACTCAAAATTGTCCCGTAGTTCTTTGTGTTCAGTTTTGTTTATTCCTCTGCATTTCAGTCTGGAGAATTTCTATTGCCTTATCTTCAAGCTCACTGATTCTTTCCTGGGCCATCTTCAGCCTACTGATGAGCCCATCAAAAGTATTTTTCATTTCTGTTACAGTGGTTTTTTTTGTTTGTTTGTTTTGTTTTTTTGAGACAGTCTCACTCTGTTGCCCGAGCTAGAGTGCCATGGCATCAGCCTAGCTCACAGCAACCTCAAACCCCTGGGCTCAAGCGATCCTTCTGCCTCAGCCTCCCGAGTAGCTGGGACTACAGGCATGTGCCACCATGCCCGGCTAATTTTTTCTATAT